ATCAGCATCAGCATCAGCATCATCATCAGCATCAGCATCAGCATCATCATCATCATCATCGTCATCATCATCATCGCCTTAGCCATCATAGTTATAACTTTATAGCCAGAGCCATTATAATCATCACATCACAACCATAATAATCCTGCATTGCAGCCAATACAATCATTCTAGTCAGTGTTACCACTATTCATGGTTGTCAATCATCCCATTGCAACTATATTTCAAAGGTCGTCCCTCTCGTCTTCGGCGTTCTCGTCCTCGTCAAGATCGCCCGTAATCTGACGACCCTGCACCCCTGCACACGCACCCGGTCAACCTCAAAAAGGCACATAGCGCAGGTAGCAATAGTTGCTGTAGCCCCTGGAAGGTCAAACTTTGATCCTTGGGCAGCTCCTTCAGAGCGGCCACCCGAAGATGGCGTGGATCATCTCGGGTGGGTTGCTTGGCGCTCCGATGTCAAAGGCTTCAAGGTTAAAGATCCTGGTTGCACAAAGTGCCTGCAAGAGGCAAGGCTCGACAGTTTGAGAAGCATCGTGCCAGGTTGTTGGAGCCTGTTTCTTTTCCGCATGACCGAGGTTGTTTTGCGTGGCCTTGCTCGCTGTGAGTGTCCTGGATGTAATTTGCGGGGTCGTACACAGACCGGTTTTTTTGTGCAACACGGTACTCGTACATGAAGCTTCCCTTCTAGGTGCATGACATCTCTCACCTTGCTTCTTCGAGTGTTCTCAGAAGATGTCACAGGCGTTTGCGTGCTTCAGCTCAGGTTTGTTCGCACCGAAAAGCAACTCCTTCCACTTGCCTCTTCCGGAAGAGTCCGATGTTGAAGAGTCTCGGACTTCCTGCTCCTCATGAGTGCCTGGGTTTGGCTCGCGTGACCACTCCTGCTTCCGACCGAGCTGTGCTGCTCTAGGCAGAAGCTCCGTTCTTTTAAACCCCCTACTGATGGTGTTTCCATGTTCTGGAATCGTTGACGAGTTCTTGAGAAGAATTCTCGAACGTGGAAGCATTCGATTGTTTGCCCATTCAGTATGGGCGGTGATCCGTCGTCCATGTGCCATCGCTGGAGGAAAACGCGGTCTGCATACCGAGGATCTGGAGAGGGCATCATAAGTGGCCATGTTGATGCATGCAGTGGACTCTTCATGAGCATTGCCCCAACTTGGACCGTCAATGCCATGAGCAGGCTTTCAGCCATGGAACTGTCTCAGTGTCATACATGAGGCACCTGCAGTGCGACATCCTGCCATACTTCTCATATAGCTCCTCATGGCCAAGGCTCTGAAGCACCCTTTTGCTCTTCACTTCCACAAGACATTGCAAGCAAACCAGATACTGCAGTTCTTGTGTGGCCTTGTGCATGCTCCGGCCTCGTTTCCTGGAATGCCGCGACTGGTCTGCAGTGAAAAGTCCGATATGACACAAGTTGGAGAAAGCAAGAACCATCCGCCAGAGTATGCCATCAGCCAGCAAAAGTCGGCCTATGCGTCCGTGGATATGAGAGACAATGAGCCATGCTGTGTTTGGACACTTAGCAAGGCCGGATGCGAGACGTGCGGCACTCAGTGCATGGCTTTTGTGCGATGTCGTGGACCAGAGGCAAACCCATACTTCACCCGTGCAGGGGACGGTGGCGGTGGCCGTGCCTTAACTCAGGCCCGGCCCTGTCTCGCTCTGACGGTGAAGGTCCGTAGCGAGGTCTCAGGTGGAGGACGGACCCTCGAGCACTCCGGAGTTCCGAGATTCGTTCTGAAGCCGATTTCACAAACCTTCGCGAAACGACGTAGCACACATGTTCGCTGCGAAGGTATGACGGCAGTTCGTTCTTCAACGTGTGTCAAGCTACATCTTGTTTTCACACATCCCCAAAGTGGCGGGCTTGATGCTTGGGAGGCCTGACTCGCCCCTTATGCCCGAAAGAAGCAGAAGGTGGAGCACCGGCAAACCTAACGACACAAGCCATATGCAGATACCAAAACATTCTTCGCATGACGTCCCACCGGCGAGAGCCAGCGAAAGCGCCTGCACGACTAGACCGCTTCTGCATTCGCTCGCCCAGATATGGGGATTTCCGAACATAGGGGACTCTAATATAGTACCCTAAATAATAGGATCCTTATTATAAGGACCACATATATCTGCAGGCCCGGTCTCGTTATCGGGCGTCCGTCTCCGTTTGAAGCCCGGAAGCGGCAAGATCGGGCTGCGCCACAAGACAAGAGGGTGCAGGGTCTCGGGGCCACACGAAGTCGCCGCAAGGTCCGCAGAGCTCCGAGTGGTGTCTCAGCGTCCTTGCCCGTTCAGCCGTGAATGGTTGTCGCAAGATGCAACACTAAGTGGAAGACAGGAAATGGTCTTCATGCGGACGAAGTGCAATCGCATGGCCCTGTGCCCAGTTAGTACGTACGACGGTAGGACGGAGAGTCTGTTGGATTCTCTTGTGCTTTGTCTGGGTCTGCTGTCATTTTTGAGACGACGAAGCACATGAAACAGACCTTTTCACGAACGCCTGAACCTCGAAGTTCTTAACGCCTTTAGCTTTCCACGTATTCTACAAGCGTCTAGCAGACCTGAGGACCTCATCAAGAACTTGAACCTGTGGGGCAATGACCTGCAGGAGATGCGTGCATGCAGTAGCGCACTCGGGGTCCGTGCTGCTCTGCAAGAGCTTTAAGGACATGCTGCTCTGATCCTTTTTTGGATAGGATGCCTGAAGTTGTTCCCTCCAGCTTCTGCCGCTGTAGACGGCTAAAGAGCCCGAGTAGCTGCAGCGGGCTGGGCGGTTTTTTTTGGGGGTCCCCCCGCCGGGCTTAAAAAAGGGGTCGGCTAGGGCCTATTTGGGAGTTTCCAAACATTAGGGGTACCTTATTCTAGGGTCCTTATAATAGGGATCCTATTATTTAGGGTACTATATTAGGGTCCCCTATTCTCGGAAGCCCCCATTTCGCAAGCTGGGCCACGGTTCCGAGTAAGACCACTTGGAGGTTCATGGGTAGTTATAAGTAGGGTTATAAGTAGGGTAACTATATTTATAACCCATATTAGGGGACTCTTAGAACTACCCATGAACCTCCAAGCAGGGACAACCTGGCGTGTCAGGACATTTCTGTCGGAAGCTCAGTTACCAGACGCTCCCCACGTCCGACGGCACACCGGATCCTTGGCAAGGGTAGGACGAAGACGTGGTAGCTGTAAGGCCTCGTTCTCCAGCTTGATTATTTTGAGCTGCCAAGGTTATCCAGTCCATGCCAAACTTGGAGGCCCAGGGATTTGGGGTCTCCAAAGCTTCGAAACCTCCTCCGTTGGCTCCTGGCAGGTCCTGAGCCTCAGCGTGAACCAGGTGAATACCCTCGTGGATCTTCAGCCACTCGGAGCGATTCGACGGCTTATGTCTGAAGCAAGAAGTGGTGGGCTTGCTGGCTTTACCGACCGTGGGTTGAACAGCCAAATGTGCGACCGACCGCAAGCATCCTCACAAGATGTTATACAAGAAGTCGGCTCCTGCAAAGCAGTCTGCTGTTGGATGCGTCGTGCCCTCCTCACAGGCACTGCCCGAAGCTCTCGGAGCCATGGACTCGGCGCTGCAGGGGGAAATCCGGGCATGGGAATTTTCAGCAGAGCTTGGGTGCCAGCATGCCACTATCAATACTCAGCCGAAGATTTGTGGATCTGATTCCCCTTGACCACGCAAGAGAAGAGGAGAAAGGGATCGGACAGGCGGCTGCTCCAGATACCCGTGGGTGCTCTGGACAGAAAACAACCACGGGGTTCAAGGAAGCTTTAGGAAAACCCCCCTCCACCCCCAGCTTGCCGGGGTCAGCGTATACTAGGTCGCCTGTGTGCAACAGCATCGCATGTCCAGCACAATTATGTGCAGTGCAGGAAAGGCTGATATCTCGCGTGAGCAAACTTTCAGCTGCAAGCCTCACGAATCCGTGCTCGAGTGTCTGAGGCTGTATCTGAGGAAGAACGAGATCATGGACCTGTCTCTGCCTGAAAGAACAGCGGATGTCCTGTCAGTACCCGGAACCGAGCAGGGCTTGACCGCATGAGGCCAAGTGAAAAGACGCGTGCAAGCTTCCCTGCAAGGTAATGTAATGCAACGTCTTCGCCACATGAGTGCTGCATGGGCAGAGTGCAGCTGTAGTTTGTTGCGATGCTCTAAACAGGGGAAAAACACAACCTTGAGCAGAAGCCAAGGTCAGAGATTCTGTATCTCAGACATCTGAGGCGCATGAAGGCACCGTGGACACTTTTGTCGTCGCTAGTCATCATCTCTAGTTTCGAAAGGTCTATTTGAAATTCAATGTCTGCCGGTGACATAGACATGGCGGTAGTTGTGTTCGTCACAGGTCCTCTGGCTGGCGGACAATCCTTGTGCCGATCTGCCGTGCTTTCCTCAGCCTCCGTTGACTTCGCTGGTCTCCTTGCTTGCTTGCGGAACGCCCTCGCGCAGGTATTACAGACAGTACATCTTGCATCACCTCCCGAACCTCACAAAGATTGACTCAGAGGAGCATCGTTTCTGTTAGTTGTAAGAACTTTTCATTCCGTTTCTACATTGACATCCATGCTCTTACTCGCATTCCCCTCGCACAGCCTGCATGAAACGTGCGCTTTGCCAGTACGTTCCGACCGCCAGTGCTTGCAAGACTTCTTCAGTTGATTTGGAACTTGCAGCGGATCGACTCCAGGACGTCACAGAAGAGGAGCGGCGAGATGCGCAGATGGTCCGATGCCCTCGCTTTTTGATTGAGCCAGTGAGGTTCAGATGGTTAGTGTGGAAGTCGTTGTGTATTTTGAGTCAGTGCGGAGTCCTTGCGAACAGTCAACTGCATCCTGGGTCTCCGGCAGATCGACTTTGGCGGGGTGGAGACCAATCCAGTGGATCGAGCTCATGCTGGAGGCGCCTGGGAGGGAATTTGGTTCTCAGCGTCTCCGAAAGACAGTTCGTTGAGAGGAGCCTGCCTGCTTCCGCTCAGGTGACTTCCCGTACCAGGAAGAGCTTGAAGCGTTGCCAGATGCAGGCGAGCACCTTGCAATGGAGCAGGGGAATTGCAAAAGGATGCTGCAGGGGGAAGTACGGAGTGGTTCTGCGCAGCTCTGAAGGCTTTCGCCAGAATCGTTCCGAAAGCGAGGATTCCTACGAGCGGGACTTACCAGCATTTTCCGCTGCAGCCGAAATCGCTTGCACATTTCAGTCACTTTCTCGAATGGTCAAGCTCGTTCAAGCTCAGGACGACGCACCCAGGGCTCAAGAGGCCGCCGGCAGCGCGATGGTCTCACATTGCGCGTTTGCTGGGAGAAAGCCGAAGTCCCTAAAAGGCTCTGCGACGTCCCCAGGAGGACCATCGGACCCGCTGGCCGTGGAGGGCTTTCTTTCTGCAGGGTTAGCATGATGGTTCTCTTGAAAAACCTCCATGTACATGGTTCCGATTCTCACTGTTGCCATGAGAATGATACCGACTAAGGATTGTAAGACTATTTCGGCGCACGTGCTCACCATGTTTCATCGTCAGCGTCGTCGTCGTTGTTGTCGTCATCCGTCTTGCAGATGCAGAGCAGCCGTCGTCCTTTCTGTGATTGTTGCTTCCCTCTCTCCGCCTCTCTCAGTTTCTCCCACTCTTAGTTCTGCTGGTCATTGGCTCTCTTTCTCTCCTTCTCTCTCTTTCTCTCGCTTCTCGAGATGTGCGCACAGGAGTCCCCTTCTCGACGTCCGCCGCTGGCCATGGAACCAAGGTGCAGTTCCGAGTTCGTTGGAGGTTTGAAGCAGGGGCTTGTGTCGATTTGCCCCCTGCAAGTTCCAAGTGTTCTCTGTCTGGGCAGCCCGAGGCGCTCCGTGGTGCACGAGCGTGCCCTTCCACCGCGAGAGAGTGCAATCGCTGGAAGCTTGGATTGTCAGGAATGGGTCATCTACTTTTGTTCCGTTCCAGCCCGCTCTTGCACCTTTGAAGCCTCGCTTGCAACAACAGCGGTGTCATGTTCGCCCGAGTGGAGCCGCAGTCGACGCCCGTGCTGGACGACTCCGAGCACAATGGCATGATGCCCGCTGCAGGCAGGGAAATGCATGGATCCCTGACCTTTGAAAAGCCTGGGTAAAGTATGAACTGATGTGCTGTTATGTGCTGTTGGTGCTCGGATTTCTCGCTCACCTTTCAACCATCAGGCTTCCGGGCATCCGGTGGTGAAGTGATGTGCACTGGGATTTCAGCACCCCCGCATCCCAATTAGTTCCCAAGCGGTCAGTTCTGGCCTCGTCGAGGGCTGGAGGGCTGCAGAAGGTCGTTAATCGCTTTGGAGCTGGTCGAGTTCGGGCAATGAACGGGTCTGTGACGATACCAAACACACGAGGTTTTGATCAGCTGCAAATGTTGCATGTCAGCGTTCCAAAACAAGAAGGCAACCATCTGCAGTCTTGGCAATCCCTAGGGCTCCAAGTATTCAAACAGTACCTACTTTGGGGTCTAAAGTCTGTAAATGGCACCTACTTTGGGCTATTTGGAGCCCCAGGGAATGCCAACAGCTCTTTACTAACATGACGAGTGTAGTGAGCAGGGCAGCGGCGTCCGGCTTTTCGCTCGGCGCCAGCCCGGCAGACTCTGCCGACGGAGCTCTGCTACTGAAGCGCTGTCGGATTTCGAGTTTTGCGGGATGTTTAAAAACGTCAGTGGTGGTACGTTGTGGTGACTTCCGGGTGAAGGCCCACATTCACAAGCCCTGCGCTACTTGCGCTTTTGTCATTGCCTGGTCAAGTGCTTGACAAGAACTGTTCCATGTGCAGGAGGACTTGATAGAGCAGCGACGCCTGCCACCGCAGAGGCTGGCTGACGCATCCGAGTGGGCTCGTGTCAGCCACAAAAAGACAGAAGGAAGCCTTTTTCCGAAGAGGTCGAAAGTCTCTAGACTCCAGCTGCTGTCCATTGCTAACAGCGTTCGTACGGAGACGTTTACAGGCATGTGCATTTGCCAGGAAGAACTCGCCACACGATCCTGGCGCTGCAGCCAGGACTGGCCTGCTGCAAAACACGCGGCTCTGGAGAATCAGGATTTGGGTTTCGTGTTGTTTTTGGAGGTTCTGGTCTAAGGCTTCCTTGAAGGTTTGGGTTGGGCTTGCGGTCTCCTGAGACATGTTCTCCGACAGGATAGGGCTTCCAGAGTCGCCGGTTCGTGGCGCAGGCGGTTCCGGGAGCTTGAAAGTGAAGTAGACCATGCCCACCAGCGCGTGTTCTGTAGCGCGGACTTGCAAAGCTTCAGGCCAAGAGCGTGCAGGCCTTCAAGCTCGACGAGACAGTGAGGTGTGGATGCCACACAGCTTGAAAGCTTTTGGGAGTCCTTGGTCTTTGGAAGCCCTGTTGGAGCCCAAAAGCTGAAGCCATGCTCCTCGTCGCAAGTTTTTGGTATTCCGAACTCAGCGATAGGACGCCTGAAGCCTGCATCCCTGTTCTGAAGCAGATTGGGTCGCCATTTGGGGACCCTGGTCGAGGAGCTCGACCGCCTATCGAAGGCAGCGTGACAATGCAGCAGCACTTTTTTGGGTTGGTTTCGGGCTGGCTTCCCGGTGCTAGGGTAAAGAGGGGCACTTCTTGTTTTGAGGCCACTAAATACCCGGCTGCCAAAGCAAGCATGCTCTGGACCACGTCGGTAGCATCCATTTGTATCAGCATCTGGAGCATGGGTTTGGCCCAAAGTGCGGAAATGGGTCAACGGATGGGGCCGGGGCCTCGAAGAGTTCAGGGATGGGGCCGTGGCCTCGAAGGGATCGAGCCTTCCCGACTTGGCCAGTGATGTTTGCTTGACTTCTCGACACAGGCAGGACATTTGCGCGAGATTTCGCTCTTTGTTCACTTTGTTCTGGGTCGGAATGGGCCTCGCCTGGTGGAGTGCCTGGTGAAATCGACCGGTGGGTCGGTCGACAGGATGTACTGATGTGGGGCCACGTGGACGATACGGGCGAATGAGTGCAGGATAGACTTGTAAACGAGGTGACATGGGCACGTTGAGCATTTCTGAGTACTATACACCTCGAAAGGAAACGGTAGGACTCCGCGATACCAGACGCCAGGTACACGCGGCTTGAAGCACTGCATGCATGACCCAGAAGTTTTCTGCAAAGCTTGGAGATCTTGAAGCGTCCATCGACTGGCAGGGCAAGGTCGACCTGCAAACGCGTGGGCTGACGGGTGCCGCGCTGAGCAAGCGGGCACCGGCACCTCTCCGCAGTCTGAATCCGCCCTGATGGGTTGTCATGTCGTCAGTCGAGGCGATTTTGAGGTTGCCGTGAGACTTGTCAGTTCTCGGTCAGCAGAGGAAAGGCGTGAGAGCAGAATCACGGGTTGGGCAGCAAGACAAACACACAGAGAGATACTGCACTCGGCTCGAGAAGACACCCGCCAGACTCTGCCCGCTCTGCGAACTCAGTAGGCCTGCATCTCTTCGTTTCATCGTAGGGTGAAGCTTCAAACTGCTCTCTCTGTCTCTCTCTCGCTCGCTCTCTGCAGCATGATGTCATGTGATGTGGACCTTCCACTGCACAAAGCTACCGGCCGAAGTTGCGGAAGTTCAGTTTCTTTGCGCACGCAAGACTTAACAGCCCCCGATTCATTGGACCTTCATCTCCGAGTCTGCCGAGGGCCCTTCCACACCGCGAGGAGGCGCGGCAGAAGTCCAAGTGCTCGATTTCTTTGGAGCTTCGCGAGCGGTGTTTGGAAGAACCGAACTTTTGAGATCCTCGCCTTTCTTGGGGTGGTTCTCACCTCAAGAGTTGCTTCGGCACTGTTAGGATCTGGCTGACACCACAAACTCACGAGTCTCTGGGTCCTTCATCCTGAAGCCGGTTCTAACTTGTTGGGGCCTGTCCTCCAGCCCTCAATTTGAGTTTCTTTTTGCATGGCCTCTCATCTGGCAAGGGAGCACGTCTCGCTAATGGTGCGAGCCGCACAGACAACATCCTTTGCGCCGTGCTGGCGCTTGTGAAGGACGACCATCAGCTCGGTCATGCTTGCGTAAGCAAGCAGCGAAGGTCATTGTGCTCTTGTCAGTTGCCAGGAGCTAGACAGACAGGGACTGGAGCTCGTGCGACGCCGGAGCCATTGAACGGGTTTCGTTCGCTGTACTTCAGGCAGGCAGTCACGTCCATGTTGTGAATCTTGTGCTTCTCAGGCTCAGTGGAGCAGCGCATGGCAGACTTTTGAGGCGACGCACGCATTGCATCATGTCGCCTGTCTTTGACTTGTCTGGGGGGCTGGAACAACGCTATTCTGCTTAATTATGCTGTCTCCTGAGCTCGCTCTCGATCATCTTACAGTTGCAGTTGGTCTCAGATGTTTACCTTCTGGATTTTTGATGCTTTTTTACGGGCGGGAGCAGGTCTTGCAATGATCGAGCCTCACCGAGATGCAGGAGGCCTGAGCGACGCTCTCTGCTCTGCAAGCGGCTCACGAGACCAGGGAATGCTGGTTCTGCGACTTCTGTGCTGGTTCATAACACCTCTTCCCCCGTCTACCTGAAAGGTGTGACCAGCTCTGCTGACCCTGAGCCATTGCGCTCCAGAGCCTTGGTGACTTGGGCCTTCGACGATCGCCTGAAGCACTGCTCTGGTAAAAGCGTAGTCAATCAAAGCGATGCCGAAGTCGGTCACCATGAACCAACCGATTCTGCAGAAGTCTAGATCGGAATTCGGACTGCGCCACACTTCCGTGCGTCCGTCACCTGGCTGCCTGGTGGACTTGCAAGGCTGGAGTCAGGGCTATGCAATGTGACATGATGTACTCGATAGCCGCCGTGACGGACACACGCGGTTGAAGCGGCCCATGACAATACCCTCCGTGAAAAGAAGCGGCTTGGTGAGAACTACTTGTGTTGCACTCAAGCTCGGTTATGTCCTTGTTGCTGCCCATTGGGGTGGCATTACCGCAAAGGCGCACGGCACCAACAGCGATCTGTTGGGGAACGAGTCCTTGTCGTGCCTGGTAGTGCGCAGCGTGCGTCGACCGCTGCAGCAGCGATCGTCTGCAGAGTCCGCGGGCGATCTTGGCTCGAGCACGTGACTCACGATGTCGGGGCCTTTGGGTCCTTTGGGTCTGGAGCTGAGTGCTCGGGCGCAGGGTCTGGGCGCAGGGTTTTAGTCATGGCCAAAAGGGGGGCCTTTTTCGGGTCCGCTCCTTACGGTGTCGAATGCTTATGTTCCTGCGGACGGGTTGCAGAGGTGATGCCAACATCAAGTCTCCAGTTCCACTTCCCTTTCTGCGCATGGACCCCTCTTGAAAGGACCGGGGGACCCAATCAGATTTCGCGCGCAATCGCCGGTGTTGGGAATCCTGGTCTTGCAGTCATGTAAACTCGGCGACCGGGTCCCAATACCTTCGAAGACGATGGTGGTGGTGCTGGTAATGAGTGATGGCAACGACAGGATGAGGATGAGGCCTCTCTTTGTCAAGAGAGACAGTAGCTCCTTAGCTCCAGTCTTCGGACAGAGCCTCGCAGTTTCCGGTTCAAACGATGCGCCTTCCTTGCCGAAGCTCTGGTGTCCAATCCTATCCCCAGCCCCCACTAAACCCTAAACCCTAAACCCTAAACCCTAAACCCTAAACCCTAAACCCTAAACCCTAAGCCCTCCGGGCTTCTGCTTTTGTTCCTCTCGGCTTCATGCTCGCAGGCTGCAGCGCTGGGGGCATCTTGCTCCGCGCTTCTCGGCCAGGGTGTAGGGTGCATGGGCAAAGACCCTAGCCGTAGCTTGTAGGGTTTGATGAGTTTGGGTCTGGGTGCTGAGATGAGGTATGGCTCGCCGCGGCCCGTGGACAGTTGCAGGGGGTGTACCGGAATCTAAGACCAGTACAGCGACGTGTAAGCTGGACATAGAGCTTGACCTGTGGTTCAGCCTGCTGGAGCTTTCGGCCCGCGAAGAAGTCAAAAACGGCGCATGCATGTGCAACCTTGCAAGCTCTCTGGTGATTGATCGTAGCTGGCACTGCCTGCATTGGCAGAGACAAATTCCATGGAAAGTGGCTTGGTGGCCCTGCTGCTATGTGGCCTCAGCACCCTCGGAGTGCCAGACAGCCGACAGCGGCTTAGTCCAAGTTCTCACTCGCCTGTTTTTCAAGCTTCGATAACATGCACAGAGGCACGGGGTGGCTTGAGAGAGCAACGACCCACAGTTCACATCCACAATCACGGAGTCTGCAACACGTGTCCAAAGCGTGTTTAAAAGAAATGCTACAAGAGAGGAGTTCCAAAAGGCGCGAGGCGCCGAACATACTTCCAGGTGCACGCTGACATCCGGGCATATCCAGGCCATGGCTAAGATTCGCAGCTCGGCCGTGGCGGTGGACATCCCCATCCCGGAGCCGCCCAGTCGCACCCGACAAAGCAACGTTGTTGTTGAGCTCGGGCTGTGGGGTCGTTTCCAGCACGTAAAAGGTATGGTCCCATCGCGACGGACTCCATGAGCCAAGAGCAGCAGCTCTGTTGCAGCCTGTGCGGACCACCTTGCGTTCGAAACTGACACCCTAACAGTCAGAATTTCAGACCTCGAGTAGCTTTCGTGGCTCAACAGGAAAGTGTCGGCCCGAGCGATGACTGCCCTGGGCGCGTTCACGAAGAGTCTCGTCTTGAAGAAGATTCCTTCGACTGCACACGGCATGTGAAATGATGCATTCAGTCTTAGGTGGTGTGTCTGTGCAGGTCTGGAATGGGAGATTTTAGGCTTGTCCCTGTGGAACCATGCCCTGAATGCGGCGAATATTTCAGCATGTTCGGGAAGGTCCTAGCCACAGCATCCAGAAGCATTTATCTTCTCTTTCAACGGAGAAAACTCATCTGTAAGTTCATAATTTTCTTCCACTACATCTAGATTCTGCAGTTTCTTTTGTATCCAGAACCACTTTTAGGATTAAAGATAAGAAGCGCATAGAATTTGCACGCCAGGCAAAGTTCTATTAATTGCTTACATAGGTCATTACACTCAAATCAAAATTTTCGCCGTGACTGTTTCCGCAGCCAATTTCGCCGTACTCCTATTCCCAAGCTGACAGGCCGCTAAGAAGGTTGTGACAACCGGCCTAAAAGCGCCACGTGCTGGCACCTCGATCTCGTCCTTAAGACGGCCGTTTGAAGCTGCAGCTGCTGCTGCTGCTGCTGCTGCTGCTGCTGCTGCTGGAACAGGATAAAAGAGGACGATAGCCCGAGGAATGACGACTGGCAGGGCAGCGAATGGTGGTCTGCAGGTATTAATCTACCCTGGGTACGTCGGATTGTGTGTTTGCGTATCTTGTGTCGTTCTCAGCAGATGCACAAGAGCCGTTGCAGTCTACCCAGGATTTTCCAGAATGTCCGCGACGTCCAGGCTCAGAACGTCCGCGAGAGGCAGAGCTTTGAAGCTGCGAAATTGGCCTTGGCAATTTTTCTTCATGGCCTTGGTTTCAGGTGTTGTACGGACCAGTGGTTAGATGAGAATGAGCGCGAGTGGATGTGCCTGGAGACTTGACAGCACTCCCGAATCTGCAGTTTCCCAACGCGTCCCCAAGCTGGCTTTCGGTCCGTCATCTGGTACGGCTGCGCTGGTAGTGTGGCCTCTTGCCTATTGCCCAGGACTCCTTGATGCGCTCGCGGCCATGGGCGACAAACAGGGATAAAGCGCTGCTCTTTCCGAAAGGTAAGGGTGACGACTCTTTTTTGGCCAACCTGCTCAGCGACACAACGGCTCCTGTTTTGTAATCGAGCCTCAGCTAACCTGACACGACCTGACTAACCCAGTGAACCAGCGAGGGAAATGTGCATGCGTGGTTTACCGAATGTGGGCTGTTGTGGAGTTGTCATGTAGTATTGTATTCAGCACGGTTCACTCACTCGTTCAGTCATTGATTTTTGTTGTGTAACACACGTGTGTGTGCAGGAACAAGCGTAAGCGGGCGGCCGATCAGCTATATCGGCTCGCCCGTCATTGCGAGTTCTGCTATCCTTCCCTTCCGCCTCTCGTCGGGTCATGTCTGCTTCCGGACTCACGCCAGTGATGGAGGCCGCCGCCGCCCCTGCGACGCCTATCGGGGCGGACGGGTCTCCGGCCACTCCTGGCGTGAGTCTGGAGTTCGGCCCGACCTCGGCGCCTACTACAACCGCGCCTGGTGGTCTGGACTTGGATAGCCTTGACGGGCTTGAGCCCACGCCTCTCGGGGCGTCTCCTTGGGCGTGTTGCCCGCTGAGGCTCTGGCGCCGGGTGGGGGCTACGGGGCCGAGGTCGTC